ACAGTCAGTTTTGGAACGTTAAATAGTTGAGAAAGAGAACGCATGTTGTGTAACATGGACCTGTTTACACCTGGTCACTTCATGCGTTTTTTTCTGATCGGATAGCTATCCGATCGTGAAAAGACCAGGTGTAAATGCCCTCCGAAACGCATTCGAGACGGATATAAATCCGATCGCTCAAACCACTTCAGGAGGTGGTCTGGGAGCTTATCTTTTGATTTTGTTGGCGTGAACTCGTTAAATTTAAATATAGCGCGGGAATTGAAGATCGGATTTATATCCGTTTTGCGATGACACATTTATGTGGCCAAGTGTAAATGGAAACGTTTTAACAAATCAGATGGATATCCGATCAGCGAAAACGCATGAAATGACCAGGTGTAAAATCAAATGTAAAATAACACATCCAGTGTTATTTTACATTTGATTACTTTAATTTCTGTAGTATTTCTTACCTGAATAAAAACTTACTTAACCTGAAAAACTTAGTTTCATAGCTCTCTTTATTCTATTGCATTTATTTGTGCTGTTGTTTGCAATTTTTTTTATTTGTTCTTATTTTATTACTGACTTTTTACTTGTTTTTTTATGAAAATAAAACTTGGCGTTGAAGAAAAGTAGATTTTTGTTTGTATATGCTGTCAATTATAGTTCTTAGAAAGAAAATCGGAATCGGCAAAAATCGGTATCGGCAGATCACACTAACAAAAAAATCGGAAATCGGAATCGGCCAAGAAAATTGCAATCGGTGCATCTCTAAAATAAAGCACTGCATAGTCTTAACTATGAATTAAATATACATTGATCCTTATTAAAGCTACTGAAGTTAGTCAAGATCAGTGAGTGATTTTCTGTTTCTCTTTTGTTGTTTGGTTAGCATTATAGATACAGACAGCAGGGACAATATTCTTCTGTCACTTTAAGAGCTGCACGGATCCAGTATATTGATACGCATGTGTTTTCTTTCTCAGCTGTTTGTTTACTTAAGTCATAAGACAAGCATTTTAAAGTAATTTTGTATTTGTTTGTTTGTTTTATTTCATTTATAGAGCACAATTAAAACAACACAAGGTTGACCAATGTGCTGTACAATCAACTAAGGGTAAAGTAAACTAACAACAGCTAATAAAAATGAGCCCAACATCTCAGAAAGGAAAAAGACTAATAAATAATAAGCAAATAAAGCAAACTTCACAGAAGAAAACAAGAGCCACTTTGTTAGATCAATCTGTTGAGCCAAACACTAATTCTAATAAATATAGTCTCAAATTTCTTTTAAAAGAGCCCAAAGAAGGTGAAAGTCTAAGATATAAAGGCAAACTATTCCAAAGTTTTGGGGCCACCACTGAAAATGCCTGGTCACCACTCAATTTTAATCTTGTCCTAGGGACATCTAAAATCATCTGGTTAGATGACCTTAGATTCCTTTGGGGTTTGTGTACATGTAAACGATCAGTTAAATAAGAGGGTGCCAAATTGTATAAAACCTTATATACTAAGATAAGTAATTTAAAATCGACCATGTAATGAATTGGAAGTCAATGTAAAGTAGCTAAAATAGGTATTATATGCTGGCAGGGCCGGATTTACCTCTTTTCTTTTCATTCTGTAACCTACTTGTTCTATCCATCCGTGTGTAGGCTAAAATGCTACTGTTTTTGACAGCGTTGATAACGTT